ACAGGACAGGTGACCCAAAACTGACCAACAGGGTATCCGATCCCACCTGCCTCATGCTCAGTATAAAAGCTGAGGGATCAAAGCGTCAGCTCTCTTTCTTCAGTGGCTGGGGTCCAAGGAGGACTCTGTCTGTTTGTCTGCCTTTGATCCCGATCATGTATTCCTGAATTTAGATCTGGAATCGACTTCCCGTGCATTGCTGAGTCCAGTCTGGGACTTACCCGGTGCCTGATCGTCATTCTGGGAGTTCAATATGCCTTTGTATATATTTAATTATTTTATTTTTATTATTGTATTAATACTTTCATTAAAGTAGTTTATTTTTTTTTTAAACTCATAAGTCCCTTTTCTCTCTCATCCTTCTCTCCCTGAAGAGAGATGCTCCCCATTCTCTGAAGGGAAGAGAAGTAAAAGAGCATCTGTCATTTGTTTTAGTGGCTAGCCCAGCCCAAGCCATGACATGGTTGGACTATTTAGATCTGTGAAACTTCTTAAGTATCGTTACATCTATGATAATATCTCCATTGGGAATTAAGCACATAACATACCCTGCTTGTTACTGAAATTAGAAAGTGTGGACTTTGGAAGAGTTTAAGCCTGTAGGCAGGGTTAGCAATCCCTGACCCAGCCATTTACCCAGGGTTCTTCAGATGCTTTAAAGTAAATAAAAATATCACACACTACCAGTTACCGTGCAAGTCACCTCCTGTTTTGTGCTTTTTGTTTTCCCTTCCTTCCTTCCTCCAGTATCAGAGTGATTTAAATGTGAACCTAGGAACTAAAACGTACGCTGAATAACTGGTATGGTTATTGCCTCAGGGTTCCTTAGCTCAGACATTGCCTTCCATTGTTTGTTACATGCTGCTGGGAACACAACAGTGTTACTGCTCCTGCGCACACTGTTAAGGGTTTAACACCCAGGTTTCCACTGGAGCAGAGGCAGCTAAATTTCTCCCAATCCAGATGAAGTGAGTTAAGACTGTAAGAATATAATAATTGTACAATCTTATACAGTAATGCTGTATAAGAACCAGAATCCCGTCTCTGACTGAGGCAAAGAGCAGATGGCTCAGGAAGAGGTCAGGAGTCAGACAACGTTACAGTCATTACACTGATAGGGTACCCTCCTATCTTCCAGCAATCTACAGCTCTAATCTGCTAGGTTGAGCAGGTTTTCAGTCTCCGAGAAAATGTTCTCTTACAGCTCACAGGCTGACATGTGCCCTCAGTTTACAAAACAAAGAGTTTTAGTAGCCTATGGTCCAGGCCTCTGCGTGATTTAGGGAGTCTGAAAAGAATCACACATCACAGTGTGGCAACCCTTCACTAAGTCATTCTTAACTTTTCCCCAAAAGACTAGTAAGGCTGAAAGTCAAGTTTTCACAGGTCCCGTGTTTGAGAGGACAGTGGAGGACAAATTGAAAGTATGTTACAGTGTCAGGGCTGACAGGAAATATTACGGTGAAGAAAAAAACACTGGCCACACACAGCCAGGGCACTGTGAAAGGAGAGAGAGAAAGGACTGTGAAGATGACAGGTAAATATCTTTTATCAGTCATCACACAATCATGTCATGGTTTTGCCTGTGGATCTCACTGTTAAATCCTTCAACATTGCAGAAAAGCACCTGGTCTTAGAGGGGTGAGTAGAGATCTCTCTAGCAGGCATTCTAAGCCAGCTTTTTGTGGACTGTGTTGGGGACTAGAAAAGGGAACGTGAGGTTTCCTCTTTCCTCTGCAGGAGCTGTGCATGCCTGATTGTCTCTCTGCACAATTAAATCATACTCTTTCCTTTTGCGCTGCAACCATTTTTCTGTGATACCTAGTACAGCACATACTACAGTTGCATCTTTCCCACCCATCTCAGCTGCTGTGCTTAAAGCTGGTGGAAACTGTGTTCTAACCATAAAACACGGATCAACAGTGAGAACTTAAAATCAATTATTATTATTATGCTTTAAAGGAAGAAAATTATGCAATAGCACTGAAACAGGAAAGCCAGCTATTCTACTGTGGGGTGAGAAGGGATGACATGCCCTAAAAATATATTATCTCATCCAAAGATTAAACATTAGGAAGCCCTGAAGAATATTCTCCACTGGACATACTGCTTACTTGACCTTAATAGCTTACTACTAGAAGACAGCAACATGAATAGCCTTGGAAGACTTAGCCATCTGTATCATTTAATTACTGTACTCCAGATCAACCTCATATCAACTGACTTTTTGGCTGTAAAAAGGTCCAGCTGGCCCAAAGAGCCCTCATTAAGATACCTGATCTCTTACTAAAAGTTAACTTTGTCAGGGAGAGCTTTAGCACACTATAAGCGTGTTAAACAGTAGTATAACAGGTTGGCATGATTTCCTCTATTAGTACCTTTAAAGGTCAATCTTTCCACAGAGGACAAAAAGCATTAGGGTCTAGAAATCCAAGCTTCCTACCTTAAATTTTATTTTAAACAGTTTATAATACTTAAAACTGATACATATGTTTCATTCCATATATTCATAGAATAAAATCTGAATAGAAATTTCTGTATTTATCATTGTCGTGGTTTGGGCCAGACCGGCCACGGATAGTTACCAATGGGATTTGTGAAGCTTTGCAGAAGGATGGACAGCACCTTATCACATAGAATTGGCCGTGTCATGTGTGAACAGTAAAAATGATATAAATACTGTGACTAGATTATAAATACATTTAAATCTGTAAGTCTGTTCAGATATAAGATCATTACTTTTTCTTTTAAGTACACAGACATGGGTGAAGCCCCCAAAGTTATCCCAAAGTGGAAAAAAAAGTTGCATTTGAGAAAAGCAGACTATTTTACCAGACTACTTGTAGCTCGCCAAATTAACCAGAATACAAAACAAATCAAGTTGGATTTTTTCAGAATTTTCTTTACAAAAGGAAGACAAGGCACTGACATAGTATTTTTAGCATCAGTTTGTAAAATAATCAGCATTCTCTTTTTTTTTAATTCTAATTTCTCATTTTTAATGCCCCTTCCCCTCTCCTTTTTTCTTCTTTTTGTTTTTACTATGGTTTCCTTACTAACAAATTATCTGTAAGATGCAAGGCTGAATGAATGAATGAAAAGTCCCTGCTTTCTCAAGTGTTAAACCTGAAACTGCATGGTTTTAGGTCTTTTGATCTAGCTCCATCCAGAGAAAAATGATTTAACGTGACTTTAAAGCTGGATTTTGCATATATACACATAAGGAGAATATGAGGGAGAAGGAATGTCTAGACTTGTGAAACTTGGGTCTGACAGCATGACTGGGTTATTCATGCTGCCTCATTAATGCACCTAACAAATGTATCTAATTTAAGAGGCTAGTTTTCCTAGGTGATAGATGGAGACAGATCTTTCAGATGGTAATTTGGGGATGTTTGCCTTACACTAATTATGAAGAGGCCAGTGCAATTCCACTGATGATAGAGGAAGCCTAGAAGGAGTAACCACTTATGTTAGTTACACCAGTGGGCAATGAGAATTCCCCCTAAGCACCACCATGCTACAACCTTTATGCATATGAGTAAATGAGTGGAGACAGTCTTTTACTCTTAGTGTGTTCAGTCGGTTCAATAGTTGCCATTGGCGCTAAAGAAAATAAAAAAAAGAAAAAAAAAGAGTAAGGTAAATGACTGTTTCCTTGGAGCACACTGGAATGTCTATCTATTCTGCACTTCTGAGTAAGGCCAGTAGCACACTACTGCTTGGGCCTTGTCTTTGGAAGATGCTGTTCCACAGAGTGTCAAACTTCAAACATCCAAGTGAAAATTGCCAACCTGCTTCATTGATTTTAGCCAAGGAAATACATGGACAGTGAATATGGCAGTTGTTTTAGCCTTTTAACTACCTCTACCCTGAGTAAGTGCTGGAATGCAAAAATCTCTTGAACTCAGTATGTCTGTAACCGTATTAGAAATCCCAGATCAGGTAATGGACCTCTGCCGAAGGCAGTGCTTAAGACATCTGGGTCCTTGAAATGTTGGTCGGTGTTATGCTTTGAGTGGAAAGAGAACAGTGAAAACCAAAACCACTAGATAGTTTAAAAAAAAAAATCCAAGAAACAGATGTAGGTCTTATGAACTCAGAAAATATTTCCTACATTTGCCAGTTACAAATTAAGCCTAACATGAAAGGTTTCAAAGTAGAAGGACTTATGACTTGCAAGAATTAAGAAGGAGGGTGGGGAAAGAAAAAAAAAATTAAGGGAATTAATACAAATTAAGCCTAACATGAAAGGTTTGAAAGTAGAAGGACTTAAGACTTCCAAGAATTAAGAAGAAGGGTGGGGAAAGAAAAAAAAAAATTAAGGGAATTACAGGGTAATTTCAGCAAGAGGAGGGCTACCAGCTATTTTTTCTACTGCCTTTCATTAAGACAGACTGCTGTGAGGCTGCACCTAAAGTGCCAGATGATGACTACAGCTGAATGGGTTTTACATTCAGTGGTTAATCATACTGCTAACAGTAACTCCCAAACTATAGCAATCAACTCTAGCAATGGATGCCTTTCCTGCACAAAAAGGGGAACATTCTCAAGGGCGCTTGACTTGTTTTTGAAAGAAGTCCCAAACCATTGAAAAGAAGGTTAAGAATCTCTGTTGGCAATCCTGTACTGCTGCAATATTACTCCATGTATCACTGGATTGGACTAAGGCACTGACTTGACTGGAGGCTGAATGAGTTTCAGTACTCTGCAGTGCAAATCTGGTAAATCAAAGTTCACTGAAGGTAGTGCAAGTATTCTAGACTCCACTGAGCTTTAAGACCTGTCAGATGACACAGAGACAAAGGCACTCGTGCCTAGACACCTCATGGTCTTACAAATACCATTTCTTGTGCTCTGGAACTGGCAGCCTATAACTCAGCTGTGGGTCAATCAAAAGTGATCACACAGTATACAATATATGGTGTGGCACAGTAAACAGAAAAGGAGCCAGGAGCCGATTAACTGAAAAAAGAAGGAATGAGAAAAATGTCTCTTACCTGGTCAAGATTGTTGTAAAAATCTATACTGGCTGCACACAGGTATCTCCCAAGCAGAGTCGCATGGGTAGTAAAAATTGTGGCAACAGGAAGTTTCTGAGATCGAGACAGTATTAAACCGACTCCTGCCTGCCACTCATGGAAGTGGGCAATTATGTTGGGCTTGTCATCAAACTGACAGGAAAGCTGAAAACAATTAGAAAGAACATACATGAAACACACATTACCCTGCTCATCATCCCAGCCCCAGAAACCTCTTTTTTTCATGTCGTCTTGTGCTTGCTTTCTTTCATATGACAATGCAGTACAGTGTTTTAAGTGGTCATGTGTCTTGATTCTCATCAGCCCTAATCCTTAGTCCAAGAAGCGCATGTGCCTCACTAGTGCCTCAGAACAGTATCCTTCCTAGGGTGTTAGGGAGCTCTGGCAAGCACAGTCACTCTTGTTTCCTTTAACTTGCCCTTCTGCTGTTGAAACTCTTGTTTGGATAAGAAAATCATGAGCACCTATGACAGACAAATGATTCTGCAGATTAACAAAGTTTCTTCTCTTCAGGTAGGCTGTGGTAGAGTGACATGTGAAGTCACAGTGCTATTATTAATTCTTTCTGTCTGTCTATATTCCCCCCTAATTGCTGAGATGTGACTTGACCGGCTTCAAGGACAGTTTGTGAGTGTGACAACTTGACCACTGTTGGAGAGAAGGGAGTTTGAGATCCTACTTGTAAGGGCATCCAGTGACAAACAAGGTAATTGAGAAGAACAGACACTGCAGATTTCACATAGTGCAGCATCCCACCACCACCCTGCATTCTCCCAGAAAAATGCAGTTAAATGGCCACTTTAGATTTAAGTTCTAAATACAAATTTGATCTACATCAGGTATCAACTTCCTTAAAATCATAATTTTCAAACTGGGGAATAGGAACCACATTCCAAAGATTTTTTGCCCTGCTGACAAGGCTGAGGTTTGAAAATCTGTATAAAAACTGTACCTCTTTCAAAAACCAGGCTGTTAACGATCCAAAAATCACAGCATCGTTGGCTTCTCGGTCATGAAAAGGGATCCCTATGTTGCTGGCATCCCAAAATTCACCTTTCCACCTGTCCAGATTCCAAGCTGCTGATCCTATATCAAACAGTAAGACATATGGGCTGCCCTCTATCAGCCATCTTCCAAAAAAGACCTATGGGAAAGAGGCAAGGATGTAAGCAGACAATATGAAAGTGAGCGTAAAGGCCAATTAGCATAACTGTTTTCATCCATCAAATGTTAAGTATTTTACATAAGGAATATGTGATCATAGTCCTACATACCCAGGATTTGTGGTTTTCCTTGCAAAATACACGGAGTAATACTGGACCAAAGACAGGGGTAAAAGGAAACGACAATCTTTAAGACCATTTTGTTTTCAAGACTTTCATTTTAGATTTTCATTGCAATATTACCTTTTTTTAATGAAAAAAAGCTTAGGAGGACTGTACTTGGTTGAATAATGAGGTCTTACGATCTTATTGAAGTATCTATGCTGTTTCTGTTCTTACTTCAAAATTATTATTTTCTTTCCGTCAGATTTGTCACTAATCTTTTGCCATTTATGTTGGATTATTGGTGACAGATTTTGTAGGACAGGTGCTTGGGAACTGTATCTACATTTCCTCATTCTGTCCAAGCAGCACAGTTGATGCCCTTTGACAGAGTGGAAGGATCAATCAGAACGTGTAATAATACCTAAAACCACATCAGCCTAAAAATACAGCTTTCCTGCTTTATCTGCATCAGCAGAGTTAAACACCTCTAAGAGTATTTAGAAACCCACTGATATAACCTACCTGTCCAACCAGGAGAGTAGACTGAACTGTCATAAGGCAACACAATACAGATTGTATCAGTCTGTACCGTCAAATTATTTCACATTAATCCTACCATCAAAATGGCTATAGCAGCAGAGACCTATTAATCTGGAAGAACGAGGTACTATAGGGAGACTAGTGCAGTTTATAACTCATGGAGAAGAATCTTTTATGCCACTGTTCAAACTCTTTTCATTCACCAAGCTCTGGGACCTCGGGGATTGAACCCAGCCCTGACGCTAGTATGGGCTGAATACAGGTCAAGTCTTGAAAACAATGAGATGAAAGCTCTTAGACCTGTTTGCACAAAAAATACAGAGTGTAACAAAGACAAGTGTGTGAAGGAGGGTCAGCTCCTTATGTACTTATTTCAGGCTATCCAGGTTTCTTATTCAGGAAAATGAGGTTAAAGAGCAGGGAGCTTGTGTGAACCCAGACTTCATCTAAATACGGAATTTGGCTGTGGCCAGGAACACACCTGACCCAAGAAATTTGGAAGCGTTCCTAGGTCCCCTGGTTTAGAGGGATCCATTGTGATGCATAAGCAAAATCCAGACATAAATGCTAATAGGATAAGCACAGCTCCTGGAAACTAGAGCGTCATTATTAGAGATCAAAGCTATACTTGACGTACCTGGGACAGATTTGCTGCTATATGTGAATACTCCAGCACCACAATGCACATGCTAGGCTGGCAGCGTTGGCTGATTAAATTGAATGCATTGTTGGAACAGCAAGTGGTGTATAGACAATGTTATTGTCCCCAACAGCCACTTTCCCAAGCTGTGGCACTTATACATCTGACAATACACGTCTACATAATATGCAATAGGACATTGGATCCTAACAACAGCAGAACTGCTGTTACAAAGGGAGATAACACATTACCAGCGCCACAGCTGGTGGCAGTCCAATAAGTTTATGAATTTCTACATTAAAGTGTGTCATGCCCCTCAGCAACAGAAGCCTGTAAGAATGCTTCCTTGCTGCTGCCTCTCAATGCTTTTCACATCTGTTCAGCACACATTATAAGCAGACAATTTTTCCTCCTGCCAACTAGCATCTCTAAGGGACTCAATGCTGAATCAGAGTGAAGGTGAGTTCTAGATCTCTGATGAGGACTTTCAATAGAGGAGGTCAGATTTAGCATGTGCTATCTTCCACTCGTTTTCAGGTAATCGATTTCCTCAAGGCTGCAGTTGCTTGCAGCTTAGTAGCTTTCCCATCAACACAGCAGATTCTATTCCTTTCAGCAGATCACCCTTATAGGAAGAAGTTTATTGTTGGAGAAATAGTCACAGAGAGGCTATGATGTTTGTCTGAGATCACACAGAAAACACTGGTTAAAAATTGTATAGGAAACACAGATGAACTTATTCCTTGTGCTGTGGTTTAACCTTTCTTCCTAGGGAACAAATAGACAGTTGCATTGATCCAACGAAGCAGATTCTTTGTCAGTTGGGTGGTTTTCTTAAGCCACCTGTGGTGTGTCCCTTGCTGGCTTTCAACTCAATATAATGCTACATAAGAAAAATTGAGAGCTAGTGGAATGCTTTTCTCTCTCCAGTACAAGAGCATCAAATGTAACATAAGTGTTCAGTCAAAGTAAGGTTATATTATATCTACTAAAATCTCACTGTATTTAGAGACTGGATAAATAAGTCATTAATCCAATTAAGTAGACTTGCAGATAAATGACCGCTAAAACCTGTAATTGGATAAACTGATTCTTCCTCAAAAAGAACCTTTAATGAATTGACTCTGCCGTTCTAACAGTGGATTCTGAGCCTTTCCTATTGTGACATTGACCAGGACTGCTGTGTCAAGTGGAACGGCAAGAGCATTAACCAGAACTGTAATCTCCTCAGAGTCAGCTTTGTCGCCCTGGGAAGCAGCAGCACATCTCAATTACCTGACACCCTTGGCTTTTCATGGTGTCCATTGCCTTCTTAACTGCAGGGTTTGGAGGCTCACATGCTTCCACCTGAGTCTTCACATTGTGCTCAAAATAGGGACCAACCAGAAAATAGTTTTCACCCCATTCATCTGCTGTAATTTTCGCTTTTGTCTGGATCACAGTGTAAATGCCTCCCACTGCAAAAGAAGATCACAAAGAACAAAAAGGAGAAAGGGGTACAGGCCACAAAGCTCTGCAATAAGCTCAAACCCACTGGTGGATCAGATACACCTCTAGTTAAATGACTTCACATATTCAGATTTTAAGTGAAACTCAGACTCTATCAAGTTAATAGAAGTTCAGTCTTTTAAATGGAAACAGAGCTTCACCATTCAATTTAGGAGTATGCACGTATAGCAGACCATCTGTAATTCTTAAATGACAATTTAACGCTTTGCTTACTCCTGGGTGATTGCATATGGTTTCCCTCAATTTCTCCTCTAAATCTCAAATGGATGCTTTCTATCCTTAACTTTATTTTTATCTAGTCTGTGATTTTTTAAAATTTCTTTTAGATGGTTGAAGTCACACCAAAAATGTTCAACTAATACATTATTTCATTCTTATGTTATTACCCACTTTTTGGAACTTGAAATCTTTACATTCAGATTGTGGGATTCAAATCCTGGGGGTCATGCTTCCACTCTCTCATGCCTAATCTTGGTTCTACTGCATCTCAAGTACAGCCTTCTGCTTTTTTATTGCAGCAGATATAGTTTTCAAACATATTTTTTGTGATGTGGAAATACATGTGGTGAGAACTGAGCTGGCACTTCCAGCTTGTTTTACACAAATCACTGAGAGAAGTTGAGGGACATTGACTATTAACTATAAAAATGGATTTAAACCAGTATCCTCAAAGCAAAAGGTGTCATGTTCCATCACCATTCTAAAGAGTTCTTGAAGTTGGAAGGAACATAGCCTGCACTCCCAATATAAACATCTGCAGCACCTTCCACCAAAATATTGTCCATTTTAAAAATAAACACAATATATAATGTATAAGACAATGTGACAACAACATCTCCTGACGAGTCAGTACAGATCTATCTAGTCTCACACGTGGCATGCAAGATTCACTTGGCTGCTCTTCCTCACAGGTTTCCATAGCCAGCCCCGTAATTCATACATTGGCAGGGCAGCCTTGCAAAGCCCCCTTTGCCACAGGACCCATGGTGCAAGGCAGCGCGCATTCCACCACCACAAACTCGGAAGAAAAACAGCACATGCGTAAATCCAGCAAATGGAAGCAAAGGCAAGGGAAGAGAAAATCAGAGGCTAGGTAGCTGCTGTACATCAGCGACAAGTTTAGCATAGCTCCAGTGATTTTAAAGCATGGTAAGATAAATGAAGCTCAACAGGCACAAGCAAACAACAAAGGAAGTAACAGGAAGAGAATTAGTGTTCCTACTTAAAAATATCAACCTCCACTGAATTTGAAAACATTTAGTAATAGCCCAGGGAAGGTGGCTGTGCTATGCCTTTCAGCGGTGACATCATCACGTAAGAAGTCAGCACTGCAAGTTGCCAGTGACTGATAGCAGGTACTCCAGGCTTACTTTTTAAAAGGTACTGGGGCATCCAGAGGTGCCAATGCACTGCATGCAACTGCATATAGTAAGAATCTCCAGAGGTTATCTGATTCTCCTTAAAAATCTGCAGCAAATGACCACCATTTACAGTAGAGCAGCTGAAGTTGCTCAGCATTTTGGGAGATTAGTTCCCAGATTAATTAAACTGTATCACCTGACAACTGCAGAAAGCCTTCTGCCAAGCCTGGTACCTTGCAGCCCTGAGGAACTAAACAACAGTGCTGTGTTTTTAATTGCGCTCCTAGAAAAGAAACCATGCACTTAAAATCCTTTTCTTTAGCAATAGCCTATTTATTTTGAATGCTTGAAGGTTCCCTAGCCCTACTATTTTTATGTCAAGATGTCTCAGGCTTCTAGATATTTTGCAGAGAAAAACAATTGCAGTTCCAATCTCCCAGCTTGCTAAGTGGAATTATTACAATAAAGTATTACCCTACATAGTAATTAAAGCCCTAAGAAGACAAGAATCTTACAGGTATACGTTCCTAAATCAAGCTCACAGTTCAAGAGTTTCCTATTATATAGACGTGGAACTGCAGAAGGAAATCTGTGCGCAAGACTCTTCTTCTACACCTCATTAGGACCAGAAAGCTAAGAAACTAAATTATAGTCACCATATTCTACCATGGCTGCTCTGGACAGGGATTTAGAGAAATCTTAGGTAAGTGATACTATATATTCCCTCCAAGTTCCTCTGCTCACAAGCTGAGAGCGACTACTTGAATAGCTTGGATTCAGATAAACATATAATTTTAATTATATGAGACAAGTCAGAATGTTCAACCCATAAAATGATGCAGTAACGATGACACATCTGTTCATATGGGGTGGTAAGTACGTGATATGAGCATAAAGCACTGCAACCCAACACGGATAAATAAGGGGGTTGGTAGAAATCTTAGTCATGATACTAGTTGGTTTTAACTAGCAGAAATACTGAGCTTTTTGTGCAAAGCAGCCTGGTGGCCCCAGGAAAAAATATCTACCTCCAAGATGAAAGATACTAAATAAGATGTTAGATAAAGCTGTATATGACTAGAGTGGTGCAAAGGTGTTAACCCACTATCACAAGAGTGGAAATCAGCCTCTTTCCCGCTGCAAGGCATTCAACATTGGGATCAGCAGGGTAGCTGAGTTTCCACAGCTATTAATTTTAAGCTTAATAAGAAAGCTGCAGCTCAGGAGCTGAATAGAGCCTGGAACTTTGTTTTGTATAGTCAACAGCTAAGTGTTTCTTTTCACAAAGTTTTGCTTAGGATCATTATGTGTCTTAAA